CCCCAAAACCCCAAAACCCCAAAACCCCAAAACCCCATTTAGCCTAATTTCGTTAAAATTTTGTATCTTTCATAAATTAATTATTATTTTGAATCTCGCCAATTTTATGCTACAAATACTGATCAGTATTCCTAAAATTAATATTTAAGCAGAAGTTTTTTCTCTATTTTTAATAATAATTTTAAGTGCAAAAGGTTTGATGAGTTTTTAAAGGGGGCCAGAAATTAAAGAGCTATCTTTAAAAAGGTAAGAAGATTCAAAATACTCATCATTTGGGGAAAATTAAGAATATTACCCTATCATAAATAAGTAAGAAACTCTTGGAGAGCATTATTAGAAAGTTTGCTAATCTCATATAAAAAAGAACTATAATTCCTTTGCTTTAGAACATTAAAGGATATTTGATGAGCATAAATAGGAGGAATACTCTAAGATGGATAGTAAAAACTTCCCACTTAGATTGAAAAAGAAGGAATAAAAAATTTAAGTCCACTAAATTTTAATGACAACTCAAAGAGAAATGCTGTTGCAAGAATATTTTTATGGTTAAGATTAGCAGAATAGTTCTATTGATTGCAGCAATTAAGATAAATTATATATCATAAATGCTATTTGCTTAATATATCTTTAAAAATACAATAAAATTTCTCACAGATACCTTAATGATATTGATTTTATCTTTTATCAAAAAGATTAATTTGTACATTTAATGAAAATTGATGATTTTATTGAATAATTCTAGAATAGGCACAGGATTGAATTTAAAATTATTATATATGACTAGCTCAAAAATTTAGATATCATAGATAAATTCAATATTCTGCTTCCTTATTATGATTTTACATATATATTTAAATTTAACGGCACTTTACTAGAAAAAATAAATTAAAACACTTAAATTGAATGTAAATTTAGAAATTAAACAAAAGATAAGCACAAAGAATTATTAGCTATTTTAAGTCAGAAATTAATTATTGGAGATAAGAATAGAAGTTTCTATCAGTTTTATAGTGATCATGATTAAAATCCATAATGCGATCAACTAAGTAGTTTTTACTTTATCTTTCATGATAGTACTAATGATAAAAGAGTTTTTATCAATAAGACTTTATTTAATAAAGATAAATAATTAGATAAGCACTATTATTCTTTCAATGTTTTGGAAACTTACGATTAATATATTGGCTAAGATTTTAAGATTTATGTTAATAATAATTAAGATGGTTATAATTTAAAGATATTTAGCTTATTCCATAAATCTTGTATTAATATGTTAGCTAATATTACAACTGACTCAAATAAATTCATCATTTTTTAAAGATTTTAAGATAATGACTTTATTCTTCATGTCTTTGATTCTAAGACTTTGGAATTAATTGATTAATTTAAAAATATTACAAATAATAGAGAAGATCTGATTTCAATAGACAGTGCTAATAATATAGTTCATTATCGAAATTATAATATAAAAATGAAGATTAATTACATTAAGTATAGCAAAAATTTAAAGGCTTGCTAATGTATTGTCTTTGTAGAAAAATAAAATTTGTAATTAAAATACACTAAATATTAAAAAATGGCAAGAATTTACAAAATTTTAAATACAAAGTCAATAAAAAATTAAGCGATATTAGATTCAATAACTGGATTTTATTAAGAAATATCTAAAGAATTTAATAAAAATAGTATAGATAATGATGAAATATATACTAATGAAAACTTTAATCAGATAATATAATCAAAGTATAAATCTTTTGATTATGATCTTGTTAATGATATATCTAGTTAAGATATTCTAATTAGTAATGATAATTATTACATTTATCTTAATGATAGTCGTTGGGTTGATTTGCTAAATTTCCAAAAATTATATCGTTTTATTATTGAAGAGAATGATTAATTTTGTCTAATGTTTAATAATAAAAATGAGAAGTAATTATTCTTTGATTAGGCATGTACCAAAATTGAATATTTTGATAAATAAACATAAAAATTTGAATCAAAAGGTTTGAATGAAAAACTTTAGATAAGTTATCCTAGATTAGCCATTTCAGATAAGAATTCTAGTTATTTATTGGAAAAGTAGACTTGTGAGGTCAGGTCATTTAGTCTTAAAAATAAAAATATTATTAAAGAACTATATGAATTAATGAATCAAAGTTCAGGATTTATAAAAAGCAAATATGCTCAAATAAATTTTAGATAAGAGAGCACAATTATTTTATTGTTTAATAATTAAGATATTTCCCTAATTATTCCCTTATTATTATTCCAATAATTTGATAATATACAAATAAAATAGTCTTATAACAGAGATATAAATTAAAAATATTGCTTATTGGTAGAAGAAAAAGATAAAGATAATGAATCTAGAATTTATATTATGACAACCGGTCCATTCGATGAAATTTCTAATGAAAAATAATTGATTAAACCTTTCTTTTCTGGTTTTAATTTTAGCATTGATTACAAAATACTCATAGATTCAAGTTAAATTTAGACATTTATTAAAGGAGAGGAAAAAATGGTTCCATATTTCAAAGTAGATTTTACTGATGATATAAATGATTGTGGAAAAAATTTTGGAGTATTTAAAGATAATTTAGTTGCTTTAAAAACTATTATTAAATAGTTTTCACTGAGAGAAAGGCTAAGCTTACCAATTTTTATATATCAATGCCAACTTTTTGGATATCCCCCACTAATTGTTTCTTTAAGTGTTTCCTAAAAAAAGATTATTAATCTTATTCCTAATCTGATTTAAAAATATTAAGATCATATATTGTTTAACTCATTGATTGCTAAAAATATTTGTGAGTTAATCAAACAAAATATAGACTTATAAGGAAAATTTGGCAGTAATCTACCATATTTTAAGATTTTAGATACCAATCTCAATAATTAAAACTAAGATGAGTAAGAATTGATTCAAGGTATAAATTTAGATCACTCTAAAGATTTAAATAAGAAACAGGATGAATTATTTAAAGGTAAATTAAAGGAATTAATAGAAACTAATAATTATGAAGTTTCAATTGAATAACGCATGATTAATTTACCCTTATTACTGAGGTCTAATACATAAGAATTAGCAAATACTCTCAGTGAAACAAAGAGACCAGAATATTCGTTAAATAAAGTCATTGAAAGAATCATTAATTTTAAATGGAGCTTATACACAACGCTATTTCATTTGAGCAGGTTCTACGCTTACTTATTATTTTTGGCCTCATTCATTTTTGCTATTATCTATTCAACTTTTACTTCTGCGATTGAAAATTATTCAGATTAATAGGTTAATTGGAATACTGAAATTTTTCAATCAAATATATGGACTAAGGTTTTAGCAAAAATTATATGTAGTATTGTTCTTTTCTATTTCTTAAAATATGAGATAAGTTAAATAAAAATTTAGAAGAAAAGATACTATTATAAAGGATAGAATTACTTTGATTTTTCAGCTTTTTCAAGATTTTATATTTTAATTTTTACATGTGAAAGCATAGATCACCTAATTTTGATAAAAATTCTGGTAATAAGTTTTTCTTTTATGAAGCTATTCATTTTCTTAAGAAAATAATATAGTTTCAGCTTTTTTGTTAATTCGGTGAGTGAAATCTTTAAACTTGTCAAATACTTCTTGCTTTTCTTTATCATTTTCACTTTGCAGTTAGGAATGATATTCTTAGTCCTTTTAAATATACTGTAAAATTTTGAATTCAATGAAGGAAATATGTTGGTATACATTTTGATGTCCTTTAGAATTTTTTAGAGATGTTTCCATCATAAGATTTATTTTGAGAAACCTTATTTACTAGTAATAATTACCTTGATCATCTGGTTAATCGCTCTTCTGATTGGGGTTATGATAATAATGAATTTCATAATCGCTGTAATTTCAGAATTTAATTATAGAGTTACTTAGAAATTAATTTATAAAGCATAAATTGCCAAAGAACATTTGATTGCCAAGAATGAAAATCTTTATAGAAAAGATGACTTGAAAACCATAAAATATTTCCCAAATTTTATTGTTTTCAGAAATTCTTTAAACAAAGAAATCGACGATAATTGGGGGTAGAAATAATTTATTAAATATCTTTTGCATTGTATAAGGACAACATCTATTAAGTATAAAGTATAAAAAAACTAATGCTATCTCTCGGGCCCTATGAAATTCAATTTCAAATTTATAATCAAACTACTAATGATGAACTTTATGAAAAATTTACTGCCACTCAATAAGAAATATGTTCAAGCTTTGAACTATAATAACGATCTTAAGGAGTAAATGAGCTTGATGCACAAGTTAAAGGACTGGATGCCAAAGCCCTAAGGATTCAAGATGACTTGGAATTCATTAAAAGCTCCTTAATCTAATTACTTAAAATATAGATCAATGATAAACTTATCATTATTGGAGCTTATACCTAAGTCTTAATGACTTAGCATCATTTAAAATGAATTTTATTTGACTTTAAACTGTCAAAATGAAGAAATTAATTGATCCCTAATTATTAGATTAAATTAATTTCTTAAAACTTATACATACTCAATGTGAAATCTTATCATCTTGGGGTTTTGGGGTTTTGGGG